GGTATTGGTCAAAGAGATAAGGCGGTATGTGGAAGTGAAGATTCTCATACACCTTTATAAACTTCTTGGTGTTGACTGTTTCCATTTTCTGTGTTCACTTTTATGCTTCTTGGCTTTTGTGGAGTTAATATATTTTTGTATCTATAATGGGTTAAGTGTGAATGGTGGACCTATTGTACATCAGTGACTCTCAGAATATCTATATGTAGTATGTTGAACTTTTGATGTTTATTTCGAGGAATGTTAGCTGACACTCGGTTTTGTCAGGCGGAAAGGAGGACCTGCTTGTCAAAAGAAGATGGCTTAGAATACCTGAAACGTAAGAGGCTTCAAAAAATGAGATCAAATCCTGCCAATGGATCAGTAGGCTACAGCACGATGGCTAGGAGTGGAGGTGATGCTTTGAGACCATCTTCAGCGTCATGTGGAATGAGATTACGGGTAACTAGTAGTGACACAGTATCTAAAGTGAACGGTGCTACTGTTAAGGGTGGCTTATTGAAGGAAAAAGTGGAGAAGCTTGAGACAGATGATCTAAAATGGACCGAGAGGCTTCCAGAATGTCCTGTCTACAGACCAACAAAGGATGAGTTTGAGGATCCTTTGACTTATTTGCAGAAGATTTTTCCAGAAGCTTCAAAATATGGTAAATTTGATACTGAAAGCACAATCTTAATATGGAAGGATCACTGTTGTAGGATCTGCTCATTAATTCACTGGCTGCATATATTAGTTGTAGCCATTGATTGCTGTTGTGTTCAATATTGGTTAATGAATGCATTATATGGAAAGAACATGTGATGTTGGCAATATAGTGGACTTATATCCCTTCATTGATGTTTAACTCTAATCAATCTCATTATGGTATTTTGTTCAGTCTCTTATTCTGCCTTTGTTTTTCTTTTGCAGGTATTTGCAAGATCATATCTCCTATCACAGCAACAGTTCCTGCAGGCGCTGTATTGATGAAAGAGAAGTCAAACTTTAAGTTCACTACCAGAGTACAACCCCTTCGACTTGCTGAGTGGGATTCCGATGATAAGGTTACGTTCTTCATGAGTGGGAGGTTTGTATCCAACCCTGAATCATATAGCTCTACATCTCCACTTTTGGTTTGTATTTGATTATTTGTAACCACGCAGGACCTATACATTTCGCGATTATGAGAAAATGGCGAACAAAGTATTTGCACGTAGATATTGCAGTGGCGGCTCTTTGCCCGACTCATTCTTGGAGAAAGAATTCTGGAAGGAAATTGCATGTGGCAAGACCGAAACAGTTGAGTATGCGTGTGATGTAGATGGCAGCGCATTTTCATCTGCACCAGGTGACCCGCTAGGAAGCAGCAAATGGAACTTGAATGTATTGATTTTCTACAACTTGATTTTCTCTACTTTCTCGTGGTTAAGCGTTAAGGCAACCATATTCTTGGTTATTTAAATTTGGTATTTATATGTCTCTTCTATCTCCACTTTCAGAAAGTTTCAAGGCTTCCAAAATCTACCCTGCGTCTTCTTGAAACAACCATTCCGGTATGTGATAAATAGTACAGTTACATTGAAGGTCGCATATGAAGTTTTGGTAGCCTCTTTTAACTTGGATTTACTTGTTTCAGGGAGTCACTGAACCGATGCTTTACATCGGAATGCTGTTTAGTATGTTTGCCTGGCATGTGGAGGACCATTATTTGTACAGGTAAGACCAGTTGAATCAATTCTGGCTCAAGTATTCGGGTTACTAAGGAAAGCCATCTAAAGTAACTTTGTCTGACCTATTTTTTACCTTGTTTCTTAAAACAGCATTAATTATCAACATTGCGGAGCATCAAAAACTTGGTATGGGATTCCAGGTTCTGCAGCTCTAAAATTTGAAAAGGTGGTTCGAGAGTGCGTGTACAATGATGATATTTGCTCAACTAATGGAGAAGATGGAGCCTTTGATGTGCTTCTAGGGAAAACTACTATATTCTCACCAAAGATTCTGTTGGATCATGATGTGCCTGTGTACAAGGCTGTACAGAAACCCGGAGAGTTCGTGGTTACATTTCCTAGGGCTTATCACGCTGGTTTCAGCCACGGTAAAACATATTTCTCTGAATCTACATTTTTGTTGGTCAGAGAGTTATCATATTCATCTAAAGTTGTGGTGGTTTTTATGGAATATTGTAGGCTTTAATTGTGGTGAGGCAGTGAACTTTGCCATGGGTGACTGGTTTCCTTTTGGAGCTATTGCTAGTTGCCGTTATGCTCATCTTAACAGATTACCATTGCTTCCTCATGAAGAATTGATTTGTAAGGAAGCAATGCTTTTAAACTCAAGTCCCAAACCCGAGAATCTGGATTTTACTCCTACGGAATTGTCAGGACAACGAAGCATCAAGACTGCGTTTGTGCACCTGATTCGTTTTCTTCATCTGGCTCGATGGTCTCTAATGAAGTCAAGAGCCTGCACAGGCCTTGTTTCAAACACATACGGAACCATCGTATGCAGTATCTGCAAACGGGATTGCTATTTGGCGTTTATAAACTGCGATTGCTACTCACATCCCTTCTGTCTCCGTCATGGTAAAAATATTTTTTTCTCTTTTATCTCCATCGGCACATATCCTTCACTATTAGTTTTTCTAATTGACTGTGTTATTGTATCATTGTCTAGATGTTAAAAAGCTTGACCTTCCATGCGGGACAACACGTACTCTTTTCTTGAGGGATAACATTGAATCCCTGGAAGCTGCCGCAAAGAAGTTTGAGAAAGAAGATGGAGTTTCAGTTTCAGATGTGATTACAAGTGATGAAGATTTATATACATATCCATCGTCGATCACACGTCCAGCTGCAAAAGACGATGGATATTCACCGTATTCCACTATACACTTTGACTTCAATACCGAGTTAGAGATGACATCTAATTGCCATTTGCAAACTGGAAACCCTGTCATGAGCTATGATGCTAATGCTTCATGTATCTCTTCAGTAGCTGATGATTACGAATGCTCAACAACTGCTGATTACGTAAGTTTCTGACCAAAGAACTCACAACAAAATCCTCTTTTAACCGCCTCTTTTCTAATATCCGATTTCTTGTTTGTTTTGACAAAACAGGTAACTAGACGAGCTAACTGTAGTAGCAGTATTGATTCTAAGCTCTCAGAAGAAGTAGCAAGCAGCGCTAACAAAAAAACTCGGTTCTTCTCTGCGATTCAAGATGAACTAGTCGCGGATCATGAAAGTAGTGACGGTTCTGATTCCGAGAGTTTCAGAGTCAAACGCCGTTCTTCGTTGAAATTAGAGAACCGAGCAGTTGTTCTCGACACAAGAGACTCTGAACATCAGGTACTACTGCATAAACACTAAATTTTATAAATTTTCTACAATATATTAATATAATGTACGCTTCTGACTTTTTTTTCCTCTTTATTGTATGAGAATAGGAAGTTAAAAGATTGAAGAAATCGCAGAACTATCACGAAGGAAGATATAGTAGTAGCAGTAGCATTAGTAAGCAAGAAGATGAAGAAATGTTAGTAATCTCAAACAGAAGAGAAACGCAGCAGCAAAGTGACGTGAAGAAGATGATGAAGAATGAGAATCATTTTGGTGCGTTTAAACGTCTGAAAGTGAAAGGGTTGATAAAGCCGTAACGTGACAGCTTCAATTCCTCCTAACTACAATTTTTTAATTGCTGATCTCTAACAATACAGGGGAAAAGAAAAAGAAAAAAAGGGAATCCAAAGCAAAAATATTCAGTATCTGATTTTTTTTTTTTTTTTCAATTGTTGGAGAAGAAGAAGAAGAAGAAGCAACAGACAAAAGAAGGGAAAAAAAGCATATTAACCAAACCAAAGCCAACCAACACTATTGGTTTCTTTTTAGGATTTACCAAATCTTTGATTCTTTGTGCACATCTCTGTACACCTTCCTTTTTAAACTCTTCTTGTTCCTTCTTCTTTTGATGTTACGATGTAAATCTCGTATTTGGTTTCTGACATTATTTACTGTCAACAACAAAAAAAAAAGGTTAAAATCATTTTTTTTCCAAAAGGTTGCTTTTGATATTGTTTTCACGAAGATGCGTAGAGCCTTGTCTTTGCAAATACTCAATTCTCTTTCCCGAGATGACAATTCTACTACGCTTCTAACCATGTGATGATGATCAGATGATGTGATGTCAAATCAAAAAGCCATGTGATGCTGATTTTTTTTTTCTACAATTTTCTGTAAAATAATCACGTCTTTTAATGTAAAATATAAACTTTATCATTCGTCTGATACTCATATTCATTAGAGCTGGGCAAATTATCCGTTATATTTGATTCAATCCGCTATTTGTTTCGATTCTATTCGAAAAATCCGTATATCTGTAGCTTTATGGTGCAAAGCAAATATTAAATTTTGATATTCGTTAAAACGGAGCAAATCACAAATATTAAAATTTTAAGAATCGGATATCCGATCCGCTCCGATATACATATATATGTGTATATATATAAATAATTATATATATAATGTATAGTTAATATAATTATATATAAAATTTTGTAAATTTATATTTATTTTATTAGTTATTTTAATACAAAAATTAAATAAATTTAAAAATAACAATTTAAAATTTAATATATAAGTTAATTTTTGACTTTTTAATTATTTTTATAAATATTTTTAATTATTTTATAATTAATTTAATATTTTTGAAATGGATTGGATATCCAGTCAAAAATCCGGATTTTTCGGATATCCAATTAGCAACGGATCAAATACGGATCAAAAAATTATTGATCCGAACTGGACAGAACGAATCACGGATATCACTAAAATTCCAGATATCTGCTCCATGCCCAGGCCTAATATTCATAATGGACTCATAATATATACATAATACACACATCAAACTAATAATTGTTAACTCACGTAAGACTGATAATCTACAACAAGTTGTTTTTACTTGTATCGTTGAGCAATGACATCAAAAATAAAATTTATCCAGAAAATAAAAACCGATTGGGCTCGAGTGAGGAGTAAGGAAGTAACAGCTGGCAATATTGGGCCTTTGAGTAAAGGCCCATTTCGTTTGCCCACATCAAAGCTTAATTTGTTTTGTTCAGCGATTGACTTCTCTGAAACCATAAGGTTTGGGGGTTTAACGACGAGGGTTACCAGTCTCCACCATTTTCCCCCGAAGAAGACGACGAAGCTTCAACCACTCTTTCCATTAATTCGCCTCTGTAAGAACTCATTGCAATCTCGATTTTTCATTTACTGTTTCGTTTTTTTTGTTTCTTTGTTTTTAATTTCTCTTGTATTCTCTCTACCACAGCGTTATATGAATCGCACAGACTCATTTTTCATCACCCAAAAATGCGTCGAAGCTTCTCTATCTTAGCTCCTTGCAAATGGCTCAAACATTCTTCTGCTTGTACCAACGTTTACTGCTCCTTCACAAACCCCGTCCCTTCTAAACCTAACATCTCTCCGATTTCACGATACCTCTCCTACTTCGCGCCTCAGCGACGACAGCAACAGTCCCCAGATCCCGACGATCCAGCGAATCTACTGAAAGAAGACGGAGTCTCTCTCTGTTCTCAGATGTGGCTCGAGAATTTCAAAGAGCCGGACAAAACCGCGACCAATTTGGCCTCGTACCTCCGGAAATTCGAGCTATGGGTATTAGCTTATCAGAAAGTCTCCTGTGACGAACTGGGTGCTTACGTGCCTCGTAGCTCGATCCAGAGATCAGCTCTAGAGAATCTCTTAGCTCTTAGAAACTCTGTTCTCGATGATCGGTTTAAGTGGGGAGCTCGTTTGGATTTCTATATAAAATCTCCTAGGGATAAAACCGATTACGAGTCTTTATCCAAGAGGAAGATCAAAGCTATCCTCACCACTACGCAACCTACTCCTTTCCAGGATAGGATTGTTCAAGAAGTCTTGCTGATGATATTAGAACCGATCTACGAATCGCGCTTTTCGCAGAAGTCGTTTGCGTTTAGGCCAGGGAGGACCGCGCACACGGTTCTCAGAGTGATTCGGAGGAACTTCGCTGGCTATTTGTGGTATGTCAAAGGCGATTTGAGTGTGGTTTTGGATGGGATGAAGGTTGGTTTCGTAATTAGCTCTCTGATGAGAGATGTTAGAGACAAGAAAGTGATAGACTTGATCAAATCCGCGCTTGTTACTCCGGTTGTAACGACGAGCAGAGCTGAAGATGGGGAGAAGAAGAAGACGACGAAGAGGAAGTACCAGAAGAAACGAGTTTTGGCCGACGACGAGCCTAAACCTGATCCTTACTGGTTAGAGACGTTCTTCGGTTTCGCTCCTGAAGAAGCTAACAAGTCTCCGCAATGGGGGCACTGCGGGATTCTTAGTCCTCTTTTGGTTAACGTATGCCTCGACGAGCTCGACCGTTGGATGGAAACGAAAGTGAGAGATTTCTACAAACCTTCGAAAAGCGATGTTATTTGGAACAACCCGGAAGGAGAAGCTGACCAAGGGAACACATCGTGGCCTGAGTTTGTCCCCACGAGCGGTCCTGACAAGACGAGGAAGATGGATTACGTTAGATACGGTGGTCATATACTGATCGGGGTACGTGGACCACGAGCTGATGCTGCGACGTTGAGGAAAGAGCTGATTGAGTTTGTCGATCAGAAGTATATGCTTAGGCTGGACAACGAGAATCTCCCTATAGAGCATATAACCAAAGGTATAATGTTTCTTGATCATGTCCTGTGTCGCCGAGTTGTGTATCCGACTCTGAGGTATACAGCCACGGGAGGGAAGATCATAAGCGAAAAAGGCGTGGGGACGCTTTTATCCGTTACAGCGAGCTTGAAGCAATGCATCAAACAGTTTCGAAAACTGAATTTCATAAAAGGAGATCGCGATCCTGATCCTCAGCCTTGTTTCAGAATGTTCCACGCAACTCAAGCTCATACGAACGCGCAGATGAACAAGTTCTTGACGACTGTTGCTGAGTGGTATCGGTTTGCGGATAACCGGAAGAAGATTGTGAATTTCTGCTCTTATATCATCCGTGGCTCGCTTGCTAAGCTTTATGCTGCTAAGTATAAGCTTAGGTCCAGAGCCAAAGTGTATAAAGGCTCCGGTAGGGATCTGAGGCGTCCGTTGAAGGAGAAGAAAGGTCTTTCGCCGGAATATAACAATCTCTTGAGAATGGGTCTTGCTGAATCTGTCGACGGGCTTGTTTACACGAGAATGTCTCTTGTTCCGGAAACGGATTACTCGCCTTTTCCGGGTAACTGGAGACCCGAGCACGAGAAGTTTCTGATGGAGTACTTGACGCTCGACGAGCCAAAGACGTTGGAAGAGCAAAAGAGGTTTATTAGAGAGAATGGACTCGTCTCGCCTCAGGATTACACGTCGATGCTGGTTTGGAACTATAAAAGAAATGCTATTCCGATGGATCAGGTTTCGATTCTAAAGGATCAACCTTTCTTGTTGGGGTCGTCAAGTAACTTCAACCGCGACGATGGTGATGATCAGAAGAATAAAGAAGAAGACGAAGATAGCGATGATGGGCTTCACATTGCACGCATGTAAGAAAAAACAGAAACTTTTGACTTTTATTACTCTTCTATGAACTGAAGCTTGTACGACTTGATATAGGTCTGGTTTATGAGATATGGTGTTTCGCTTTCAGTTTTGGCTAACAAAATATATATATTGTTAGAAGATTTTGGAAGAAATTGAGGGTTTGAATTGTTTAACCGGATTGAACATACGTAAATACAGGAAATTGCATTGTAAAAAACACCAAATCTATCAACATTTGGAATTCAACTTGAGAAAGATTTTCGGTTTATCCTAAAGCTTCTGTGACCTGTGAAATTTGCAGATAATAAAGCTAGAGGCTACGAACATTGCTTCAACAGTGAGCAAGCCGCTTATTACTGTAATAAGGTATGTTATCGACATTATTATCATCTTTAATCCGTGTGTTATGATTACACTTTCAGCTCATTTCATTTCAACATGTTTGTAAAAGCCAAAGGAATCAGAATCGTCTGAGACAAGTCATCGTTCTGTTTCGTAAACGGAGATTTCTGAGGCGTTTTGCTTTCTTTGAATCCAGTTTCGCAAGTGCTCGGTGCATCCATCGCAGCACTCATAACCGTAGCAGCAGTTTGGTAATCGCGCGATATAACGCTCTTCAAAGCTTCGTTTAAGGAAGCAGCAGCGTCGGTGTAAAGCTGGAGGCAATCGCGTAGCGGCATCTCACTGCCTTTAGCGTATTTCTTCTCCTTGAGAATCCTATCAATGGATGTTTTCAAGCTCGTCATTTTCGTGGCGGCGTTCGTCGTCGATGCCATGACCAAATCGGCGAGGCTTTTCGCGGTTTTGCTCTGTGGATTTGCTTCGAGAGACTTGACGCAGAAATCGACTTTGAATTTCGGGCTTTTAGCTGCAGCTTTCTTGCAAGAGTCTCGTATGAGAGATTGTGCGGTTGCGAAACCGTTTAAGAGGAGGAAGAACATAACAAGGCGAAGCAAGAACTTCATTTTTTTTTGGTTCCTTTGTAGAAAGTTTTTAACTTTGTGATCCGATTTATAAATAATGAAATGTTTTATGACATGAGATTGTTAACTAACATAACGGCTTTTGTTTAGAAGGCTCATGTCACGCTTTACCACTTACCTCTCCGCTTACATCGTGTGGCTAATTGTTCGTTTTAACACTCTTTACTTTTGTGTAAAAAAAAAAAAAACACACTCTATAACAAAAATTTCTATTGCAAACCAATATATATATATATATATATATAAGATACAAATGTATATGTTGGTTTCTGTTTTATGGGAACTAATCAAAGAGCGCCACATTAATAATCTACTCATCTCCAGAAAGACGAATCCATGATCAAAAAGTTCGAACTGCATATCATAAATGCTCTTGAACAGTATGAAGTAATGTTTAATCACATATAAAAATATAGTCCATCCATTTTAAAATGATTACTAGTGTTTTTGGTTTTTTCTAACTAAAAACATATATTATTATATACTTAAACACAATATAACCAAAGTATAAAGTAAACTGCAAAATACAAAGAGCTATTTACCTAGAATAATCTTACTAAATATGGTATTGACTAGAATAACATACTTTTTCTACAATTGACTAACTAAAATAATTTTACAAAGTTGTTCAAAGATATTAAAATTTAAATTTTCGATATAAATAAACAAAAAATGAAAATGCTATTTTTGTAATAAAATAAAGAAAATAAACAAAAAACATTTTATATGATAAATTAAAGAAAAAAAAAAACAAAAGAGCTAAACCTAAACAAAAAAAGAAGGTGGCAACGCGATGGCGAGGGAATTTTGTTGCCTAATTTGAAAAAAGCTTTTCTATTTCCGGCGACGTCGTAGGTGATGGATCAGTGCGAAGGTTTGATTACAGTATCTGTGGCGTCGTAGGCGATGGATCGATGCAAAGGTTTCGAAGGATCAGTTAGAGCATCAGCGGAGCAAAGGTACTGAGATTTTTTAGTTTATTTTTTTGGTGGTTTTGAGTTTGAGCTTCAAATCTAAGAGCATATTCGTTTACTGCAGAAAACTGTTTATCGGGATTGTTTGGATCCGCCGCCGGCAAATTGTCAATTGCTTTGGTCCGCCGCTGGCAATTGCTTTACCTCTACATCGACAAAGCTAAGGTCTGCCGCCAGCAATTTTTTTTTGGTTACCAAATTGCTTTGTTTATCGGGATTTTATGAGATAACAAAAACTAATTGTTACTTATCCTATTTTTTTATACAGATCTATCAGGGCTCGGATTGGTACAAAGTTGATCGGTGGAAACAGTTCGCTCGCCTGAGAAGATTATTCCGGTGAGGTCATGGTAGATTTTTAATATATGTCGGGGTAATGGTGGTAGATTAGTTTGACAAATTAGGTTTTCGTTGGTATTTATGATGGTCGTGGTGGTAGACTTGTTTGATATATGATATATAGTGGTGATGAATTTGTTTGATGGCTTAGTTTTTGTTGGTATTGAGGATGGTCGTGGTGGTAGATTTGTTTGATTGTGGTGGTAGATTTGTTTAATAGCTTAGTTTTTTAGGTATTAGTGGTAAAATTGTTTGATAGCTTTTGTATTGGTGGTAGATTTGTTTGATGGCTTTTGTATTGGTGGTAGATTTGTTTGATAGCTTTTGTATTAACGGTAGATATGTTTGATATCTTATGGTAGATTTGTTTGATATTTTGTGATAGCTTTTGTATTGACGGTATATTTTTTTGATATCTTGTGGTAGATTTGTTCAGTACCGTGTGTATTGGTGGTAAATTTGTTTTATAGATGTATTGATTGATATATATGTTAAATTTTTGCAGGTTATATGGCATCTTCAAATGATAAGAGGGGGCGAAAGCAGAAGTACCCGCCGAGATTGTTTCCCCCTGGGAAATCTCCTGTGCAAAAGAGAAGCTTGAATCATTATTTTCATTTGTCGGACTTTGGAGAGGATGTCTACAACAACATTATGCTTGCTTCTCAGGTTGGCGTGATGTTGAAGCTTTCCAAGAAGCGTTACATATGGGCTGCGAGTACGGTCCATAACTTCATGACAAACCAACTGGCGGTGCAAAGGAGTTACGAAATCTGGTCACTTATTGGTGGACGTCCTTTGCGGTTTTTGCTTCACGAGTTTCGTGACATCACTGGCCTAAACTGTGAGCCATTTGTTGATGATGAGTGGGACATTGATCATATAAAGTTTTGGGAAGAGATGGGTGTGAGTACAGGACTCAGGCCTAATTGGCCATCCGGAAGAAGAAGATGGTCATCCGCGAAGAAGAAGATGGTTGGCTTGCTATTCAGATTGCACATAGCCATATTTGGTATTCATCGGAATTCACGAATCCGTTTGGATTGTGCTAAAAGAGTGTTGGATGAGGCAGCTTTTGAGAGGTATCCGTGGGGTAGTGTCAGCTTTAAGCAGCTAATTTCGTCCGTTAAAATTGTGTCGTTGGGAGGACTTAGCTACACGTTCCAAGGATATGTCCACGCCCTTCTGATTTAGGCATATGAGTTCGTGGCAACATTGGGTAAAAAATTTGGGAGACTTGAAACCAATCCCCAGTTATTTTCGTGTCCTCTACTTCGATGGAAATCGTGCAGAGATCGGTACAATTTAGAGAAAGTGTTGGAGGAGGAAGTACGTACGCAGCCCAACAACAAGGTATATTCACTTATATTGTGGATTTGTCAATGGTTGTAGGTTTATGTGATATTAGACCAGTTTCCTCTCAACAAATAAATGTTTTGTTTGATAGTACATGTTTCCATTGATTGTAGATTAAGTAAATAATCATTGTGGTAGATTTGTTTGCTTTAGTTATGGTAGACTTGTTTGCTTATCGAGTTATGTTATGGTAGATTTGTTTGCTTATCGAGTTATGTTGCGGTAGACTTGTTTGGTTGTGTTTATGGTATCGAGTTATGTTATGGTAGACTTGTTTGCTTATCGAGTTATGTTATGATAGACTTCTTTTGTTATTATATTGTGATTACGGTAGACTTGTTTGATTATCGAGTTATGTGATGGTAGACTTCTTTGGTTATTGTATTATGGTTGCGGTAGACTTGTTAGCTGATAAAGTTGTTTGGTAATATTGCAGATTCGGGTTAGGTATCTATTGGAGGTTTTACGGGAGGAAATATATCCGTATTGGCCAGACGAAGATGCAAATGCAGAGGTGGATCCGTTGCTGTATAATTTGATAATTGATATTCTCGAGTCGCGGTTGGATGAGACCGCATGGGAGATGGAGGGAATAAGTGAGAAGAAGAAGAAGACTGACGAGAAGGATATGAGTGAGAAGAAGAAGAAGAGTAAGAAGAACGAGAAGAGTAAGAAGAAGGTGAGTGAGAAGGAGGAGAAGGATAGTGTTGAGGGAAGTGATGATGACTTTGTGGAACAGCCTAAAAGGAAGAAGAACCGAAAGGTAGAAAGTGACTTGAGGGAGAAGAAGAAAGGAAAAATGAAAGAGAAGGAGACGAAAACTAGTGAGGAGGCGGAGAGTAGTGATGAGTACGATGAATAGCTGGAGATGCTGGTAGGTCAGTATGTGGAGAAGGTAAAGAAGAAGCTTATGAGGCAGGAGAATACTAGTGAGGCAAGCGCGCTTCTACAGGCAATTCAGCTTTTATCCTCTAAAATTGACTCAATAGACGAGAGGGTCAATACATTTATGGGAGTGGCGAAAGACAACGTTCTGATTCAAGAACCTGCAGGAGAGAAACCTGCTGGGGATGCCGAATCCAAAGCAGATGAACCCCCGATTAAGAAGGATCGGGTACGCAAGTCTCTTCTAGGGTGTTGTGTTTTTATGCATTTTGAAACTAGTAATAGTAGACTTTTTGTACCAAACTTTGCAGATTTTTAGTATCTACTTCCTCTGTTTATTATCAATTGTGGTATTTGAGATGTTTAAAATTTTTGTGTTTCAAGTTTGACAAGTTTGGTGAATTGGTTTTTTTTTTTTTTGATGTTTAAATTTTTTAAAACAAATCTACCATTAAATTGATAAGTCTAAAACAAAGTACTAATCGGGTTATGGTTCAACAGTCATGGACTGTGGAGATGCAAGATACGTCTGATCCTCAGTTTCCAAAAGCAACAATGGTTAGGAATCCAAAGTTCAAAGTTAAGTTTGTCTGTAAAGTGAATGTAGAAGGCTGGGAGGGTGAGGCGAAACCCACATAGGTTATTGATGATCAAGCAGATAAGACGCCTCGACGAGAGCAATTTAAGATTCCACAGCTGGTTGATGAACCTGACGACCCAAAACTCCTAGCGTTGGAGAGGCTTATGGCACTTCCCACCATCATTGACCAAGAAACCGGCAGAAAGCCAAGACCACGTGTTATTTCACATACTCAAAACTCACCATTTGTAGGGAGTTCTGTTGTGCGAAGATTGATGGGTGCTGTATCTCATGGGCAGGCTCATTACAACCCATTTGAGGAGGTCGAACGGCGAAAGTTAAATTGCTTGCTCCAATACATCAAGAAAGATTTGTAAGTGTTTCGATCTTTATCTTGCATTTAAAGGATATTATTCCTCTTCATTAAATTAGTAGATTGTTATTTAAGGACTCCCCTATAGTAAGTGTTTTAAATTATTGTATTAGGGAAAACCCGTTCGACGAATCAATTC